TCTACAAATCTTTTATCATACCTGTCTTACTGTATGTTGTAGAAGCTTGGACAGTTACAAACACATACGAAAAGACGTTAGAAGCATTCCAGAGAAAAATTCATCGGAAGATCTATGGTCCCTTACCCGTTGGTAACGAGTATCGAATTAGATGGAACTATCAGCTGTAGAAGCTATACCGCGATAAATTTTGTTAATAGAAATTTCTAAGTGAAAAAAGGAATTATCAATTCTAGAAATAAAATACCAATTGCAACTTGAATTTAACTTAATACATCAAGAAGTTAAGCGATAAGACAGCAAACAAGAAGTTAAGACGCTCGTTACAGCAAACCTTCAATCATAGATTGCAGATCTATAAAGTATTAAGTATCTTTGAATTATTTAAAGACATGTACACACAATTAATAATTTAGAATCTTACATTTTACGTTCTACTACACTACCAATAAGAGATTGTTTAAAATAGATAACCCCAAAAGTTGTACGGTCTTTCTGGATCTTAATAGTTCCTCAATCTCAAAAGCAAAACAGTGAAAGAAAATAAATATTCTGCTGTACATTATTACGCTAATCTAAATATTAAGACATCCTCTAATGATTTGAGATACAGTATGAAATGTTTGTTTCAAGCACAGAAGTTGCTTTTTAGAACGAATCGTATTATTTTTATCAACTCTGTCCTTGCTAATATTAAACACTCAAGCAAAAATAAATTACATTCGAATTACCATATTAGAGTGGAATTATTAGTAGGAAATAAAGATTAATAATGATATTTGGGACGAAGTGAAACAAAGTAAAGGAAATGACAGAAGGTATCAGTGTGTTGTGAGAAATACTTGATAATGAATGATAGGTTGTCGACGTTTATAGATTGGTTAAGAATGCGATTAATTTGGAAAGAGATTAGTTGACAAAACTCTATTGCTTAGTACATTATTTGAATATTTATAATAAAAGAAAAATTATTTAGATTGTGAAATTGCTGTTAGCAAATTATCACAATCGTTTGTATAAAGGATCAAGAATATGTTCAAACGAATGACAGTACTTTTGTATAACACTTTTGTATAACACCTTCAACGTAATCCCTTATAAGTGTTTATAGAATTAACTTTTAATTCATAAACCAGCTGTCTTTTAGTTATTTTTTAAAGTGATATGCTATTCATCTGACGATCTCAAATACTGCTCACTTTTCTATAACATCTTCTACGTTATCCTGTATCGGTTTCTCTAAAATTAGTACCAAATGGGTACATAGTTATTTTTTATACTGATTTGATATGAATCAGATTGTCTAACACTTATTTAACTGTGGTTTGTTCCTTTAATGTAAAAAGTCATTGTAAATATTTTGTTAACTTTGATTTAATTAGCGATGATAGACTTATCTATAGCTATAACTTTATCTCTCTGTCGCATTTAAAATCATTGTATATTATACATATATCTGCAACAACAACTGTTTAAAATAGACTAGTTGCTAAGAAACCTAATTAAATGCACCTATATATATATATAAATCGCCTGTAAAATATATTATATATAACAAAAAAAACTTATTCTCTGTAAAAATATTCTTTATTGTTAAAAATTATTTCTTTTACATATAATTATTAATTTCATATATATATATATACATATATATATATATATATATATATATATGCCTTAAATACCAAATATTATTTTATAAGGCAATTGTATTAACTAGAAAAAAATTTAATTAGTTTTATATTATATTTTAAATTAAAATTAGTTCCTTAACTATACTAATATATTAGGATTTTGTATACTTAAAAACTAATCTTAAAATTTATTTATGTTAGTGTTGTCTTAAAATAAATTTTAAAAAATAATAACTAAAGTTAATATTTCTAAAATAGTTGGGTGCCCAATTTTAGAATTTTTTCAAAATAATCGAACATATTTTTAAGAAAAAAAATTGAAAAAATTAATCAAAACAATAAAGAACAAATCAAATTTTATTTTATAAAAAACAACGAATAAAATTAAAACTTTAAAAAACGTTTCTTTTGTGTTCAGCAGATCTTAAATTTAAATATTGCACATTTTTAAAAATATTTTATATATATTATAAAAAACGATTCAAAATTGTTTATGACTATATAATTGAGAATAAAATCGGATAAACCAACGGGCATGGCTTTAATAAAAAAAAAGCTATTTGGTAGTTCTGTATTCGGAAGGAGTGATAGCATCTCAACTATCATAAAATAAATTTACATACTTTATATTTTATGATTAGAAAAAAATCGTATCAAGTAGATATAATCAATACATATAGTATAAGTATATATAACTTTTTTGTACAATAATTTGCAATACATATAAGCATATTCATGTATTCATATAGTCATATTAAACATATTCAAATTATTTTATTAGCATTTTTATTTAGTATAAATTAGATCTTTGGTTACTTAGCAACTTCGTAAATTTTTACAAAGAAAATCTAAGTATCAGGTAGATTTAAAAAATATAGTCATAAAAAAATGTTTATATTATATGTTTTTAAATCTTCAGATAATAAATATAAGTTCAATTACATGTTATAAAAATGATAATTAAAATGATATATTGTAATTAAAATAACTGGCAAAAATTTGGTATATTTTTGGTAAAACAAACAATGGTAAAAATAACAAAGAGCAAAAAAAAATTTATTCTCATGTATAAAACACATAAACAATATTAATTTATTTAAAAAATTTTTTAAAATTTATATAAAATTTATATATTAACAATATACCAAATACCATAAACATTATTCTTTAATAATTAATTAAAATAAGTATTTGTAAATAATTTTAATAACAAAAATATATAAGCTAAAAGGTAGTACTTTATTTAAGGTTAAACTTTTAACAGTAAACATTTTAAACCTTTCCACCCACTGGGGCCATAACTTGACATTAAGCATTATATTTTCTGTTTTTTGGACACCTCAAAACCAAAATTACAGAAAAAAATTTCGACAAAATAATAGTGCTTCAAAGTGTATCAGCGTTACAATGCCAAAGCAATTGAAGTATACTCGAATTCAAATTCGAATATTTGGATTTCGTTCGAATATTCCAGTTATTGGAACATTCCAGTTATTGGAAGAAGTTCGAAATATGCTTTATATTTAATTGTATTTTTGCTTTGTTTTATACAAAAGTCTATAACACCAAATAGCCGAACAGAATATGGGTTTCGAACATTTTCGAACGTCTTACTGTGCCAAATGCTCAAACACAAGAATACTCAAACATTTGAGGAGCGATTTTACATTCATAACTTACATTTCATTAGGTTTCAAGGATATCAAATCTGCTTACTTAATTTAGTTTTGAGACTTAAGTTATGACTGTGAAATCGGTCCCAAATGTCGAAACTTCGAACAGCTAGATTAAACTTTGAAGTACTACGAAATAAATGTGATACAAACAAAAAATTAGTAATAAACAACAATATATGCAAACGGCATTATAAGATAATAAAAATAAAATAACATAAATAAATACAAAAAATTTACAACAATATTCTAGCATATTTACCTTCCTTCAAACTATATTATATAATTTACTAAGGATCCTCTTTTGTTTGATTGAATAACGTTGTAGCATTTAGAACATGACACAAATCGGTACTCAGAGCATTAGTTTGTTGATTTTTGTAGGCATTTAATTCACTTTTAAAGTTAATCTGAACTTTCTGCGTTTGAGTCTGTTGCAAGGCAACACTATCTTCCAACTGTCCATTGGAATGTGGCACTAACGAATTCAGCTGTAAACGCTGATTGCAATACATTGTACTATCTTGATTTCTAATATCAGAAATTTCAGTAGCATTTGAATTAGGCCTCGTGGTCAACAAAATAGTCTGTGTAATTCTTGACGCTGATGTGCGTTTTGCCGGACTAATATTGATGTCGGTTACTTGATTCGCTGGTGATGAGTGTAAACGCTTTAAAACAGAAACTTGTTGCTGTACTTGTGCGGCAGGTATTGGTGACAATGATGAAATTGATGATAGCGAAGAGGTTGGAGATAGAGATGACTGAATACCATTATTAATTTTTGACACTTGTGGTACTAAATTCATTTGAAGTACACTTGGACGTTGCGTGCTGATAGTAGGTAAAATATTGCTTTCTGTACATTCCTCAAAATTTCCATTACTACTTGCTGGAGAGAGTGATGCTTCACTATATTGACTTCCCGGACTTCTTGGATTTCTATATAAATTTTTTGCAGCAGTTATATTGATAATATTCACAGATTTTGTAATGGAACTTCTCACTGAATCTGTTTCCGGTGCAACTAAAGCTATTGGCGGAGTTTTTACAGCACGTTTTCTATCATTTGTACATGAAACTCGTTCCGGTGTGGCACTTAACGGTTTACCATTTAATTCGTGACGTTTCTGTAAGTCCTCAATAAGGTAAAGCACAATACGCTCTAATTGCTGAGGATTTTGTGAGGCAGGCACATCTTCAACTGAATTACTGGGCATTTTGGTTTGAATAAAAATTGAAAATTTTCTTTTCATTTCTTGTACTCTTCGGCGTCCAACATCTTCATCTAATAGTGTATTAATACAAACAAACGAATGTACTCTGTTAGTTGTTTTATCAATTTCAAAATATCCTTGAGTTTGCAGGTAAATAAATTGCCCATTACGCGATAACAGACGATAACAGCTTTCTCCGTAATCTGCAACGCCATCGTACATTTGACGTAACGCAACTATAACCCATCGTACATCATCTTGATGAATAAAAGAAAACGGACTGAGATTGCGCACCTTAAAAAAATTATTTTTTTAATAAAAAAAGAAAAAATAAAATTTTTTATTATCACATTTACTAATTTGCTTTAATGCGATATGATTAAATTTATATGTATATGACCTTGAACAAATAAATTATGTGACACATGTGTACATATTGTCGTTTGCAGACATATGCACATATGGTTCACTTGATAACACTTTTATATCCTTGATAATATTTAATGTTATTACCTCTTCTTTCATATAACCAGCTACCAAACCGATTCGCTGATCGCAGTCAACTATACGACCATCTATTAAATGTCGTGTTCGGTATTCCAAAACATTGCCCTCAATGAGACGATTACTGACAGAAGGTGGTTTGATTAAGCGTGCTATTGCCACAAGCACAATATCATTACCGCTGATGCCATGTAATGCTGCCTGCGCTATCGCATCATGTTGTAATACACTAGGTCCACCACAACTAGCCGCGCCATTATTGCGCGATCTCCTTATCAGCTGCGAAACAATTGGAAAGTTGCCTGCTGATGTTGAAAAGTCACTTCTTCGAAAGCATCCCTCAATTTTTACAAATTCGTAGCGCGTTTCTTCCGAGCGTGTACTCGCTCGCGCCAAACGTACAATAAAGCTTCTTTTATCACTGCGTAATTTTTGATCTATTTTAGCGAAGTTTGTCTGTGTTTTTGAATTGGGCGTGTGATAATACGTATTTTTCACATCGTGCAGTTCGTCTGAATCGTATGCTTCATCATATTCTTCATCTCCAACGCTTCTGTTCATATCGTAATTGTTACGAAACAATGACTCCATATCGCGAGGTATTAATTGTTGACGCAATATCGCCTGATCCTCATGATGTGTTATATTCAAAATATTTTGTCCATACAAATCTGACTGACAGTGTCCTAAAATCTGCTCCACACTCGTAGAAATAAGTACTATTTGCCCGTGACATGTTAAGGTTATAAAAAAACTATTTAATAACTGCATTAGTGTATCGGTAGTATGAGGTTCTGCGTATATGCTCTCCTCACTACGCATTTTTTTTACACCCGATTTCCCAAACACATACTGTAATCTTAAGCCATGTGCTGCGAAACGTAATACTGCTGTTTTGTCTAATCTCCGCGCTGAGTCCGCTACGTGTGGCACCATCGTGGCTAATTCCTGTATGCTAGCATTTAGCTTATCTCGCCGATGTTTTTCAGCAAGATTACGGGCCTCCCGACCATTATGTGGCACCGCCACGCCCTCCGCTATAGCGGCACCAACAGTGGACATTGTATTCATTTCTTATTTAGAAATGTTGTATTTCTTTTTTTCTAATAAATTTCTTTAACTAGATTCCTGCTGGATCAGAATTTTTAAGATCTCCATTCCTATTACACTACACCTATTTACGTTTCGCTCTTGTTTTTTTCAAGGTCTTCCTGTTGGTGGTTTGCACTTTTTCTTCCCCTCTCTTCTCCTTCTCATAAGGCTACTTTTCTGAAGTTTTCTCTTTACGTTGTTGCGTGTCCCTTTTATTTATTTTAAACGTTTTTAAACTTAACTATTCATACGTTTCTTTATTTAATTCTATATATTATTGATTTTACAATAATTTTAACGACATATTTTCACGTATAAATTTAAAATGTTTATTTTTCGGTTTTATCATCAAATCACACCAATCAAAAATTTCCTTTCTTAATTTTTGTTTTGTTATATCGTCGTAAATACGGTATGTTCAGTGCATGTTTACACACTTCTTTTCTCATAATCATATGGTACTTGACAATTTATATAATTTTGTAAAATTATATAAAATTTATGCTATATGCTTCTTTGCGACTTTTAATAAGCATGCTGAACTCGTACTAAATTATTTAAATAAAAGTGTCTATATGTCTACATAATAATTTAGCAAATTAACATACTTAAGGTCACACAATTTAGCATATTAAATAAAAATAGTTATGACTCTTTCTGAGTTTAATCATTTACGAGTACTAATGATTTATCAATTGATTTTCTTTGAAATCTAATAGCACATATACACTGTCTCATTTAGGTGGTTTTACACATGACAGCCACTAATGAGGATGATTTACCATACAAAGTTCTTTCATATAAATGAGCTCATTATCAATAAATCACCTCAATCAGCTCATTTAAGGCGAAAAATGTCGAATGCAACCCTTAAAAATAAATATCCCACAAAGGAAATCACCAAAATTTTAAATATTTGTCATATGTTCTATATGTAAAATATAAACAAACAGCTGACCTGTAAACAAAGGCACTGAGGAGGTAAGTATTTAATAAAATCTTTATTTTTATAAATTGAATATGTAATTGATATATAAAATGTATATTAATGATTTAATATATCAATTATATAAATACATTTTTTATGTAATAAATTATTAAGTGAAGTTTATAAACGTTCTATCACCTGCATAAATGAGCTAATTATAATGTGAACGTTCACACATTAACATAAATGCGGAAGTGCCTAAATGAGACAGTGTGAATGTACTATAATATTATGTTTGGCATATTTTTAAATGCATATTGTACGAAAAATTGAACATATTACTGCATATTTGTCGAAGTAAGTATAATAGTAGAAACATATATGTGCATCCACACTAAAGCGAACGCTCGCAAACGAACTTTTGGAGGTACGATTGCCCTAGAATATTCGCTCATTGCACCCTAATGTAACAGCGTATTTAAACATAAGTTAAGAAGCAATAATCATCATAATGATGATAACCTGATATATAAGTATTATATATATATTTATAACTACATTTTTGAAAACACTATTTTTGACACTATTTGAGTAACATCGTTCACTAGCAAAAGATAACAAAATATTTGAAAAACAACTGCTTTTATAATCCATTATAGACTGTATTATCATCTATGTATTATGTAGACTCCCTTCGTTTGAAGCTAACTTTGGGAAAACAATTGGTAATCGTCAAGCAAAATGTATACACTGGAGTTTCACTTATAACACTCTAGATATTTTGCCAAAGTAGCAAGGTTACCCTGAAATTAACAGCTGTTTTATATGACGTGACAAGTATGAAAGTATAATTAAATTCGATATATGCATTTATGCATATATTTATGCAAATATGCATTTATGAAATAGATAAATGCGTACTGACACTACGACAAGAATGTTAGATTACAACAAAATTTGTCAGATTGAATCCAGATTTACCAATCGAAAACGAAAATAGTGAAATCAGTGGCTCGTTTATGTAACTTTCTCACTTCGTTTTCTCGAACGATTTTCTCACTTTTGACAATTACTCACTAGAAGTGTTTATGTAACTGTGGTGAATTGTTTTCTCACTTTTTTTCGTTCGAGTTTTTGTCACCTGTCAAATTGCTTGCGAGAAGTTTTGAATTTTGAATGGAAAAAAGTAAGTTAAAGTGAATAAATTTAAATTTTTGGTACAAGTGCTATTTGCAAGCACTAAGCAACCTTTTAAAATTGTTTTATTTTCGTTCCATTTATTCAAAAAACGTTCCATTTTCATCAGTTTCTCTCATCACACCATAACGTTCTCGTGTGGTGAATTTTTCATGTTACATAAACAGCAAACTCGAAAGAAGTGAGAAAAAACAAGTGAGAACTTTTCGAAAGAAATCGTTCGATTTACATAAACGAGCTACTGATATTCCCAATTCTCGTATGCAGGCACATGGTCTAATCTATTAAATCAGACTTAATAAATCACCTTTTAGTATATGAGAGAAGAATATGTAGAGAAATATATGACGCAGTGTTATTGATTGATAGGATTTATTGAAAACAATATCATCATGAGTTCGTAATTCATATAATAGATGAGCAAAATGTGATAAAATACATTAAATCTAAGCGTTAAGAAATGTACAAAGAATATTGTGAAATGAAAATGATTGAATACGTGAGAGTTGAATGGACTTATCCCACATTATGAGTTTTAAAAGATGCATAATTTATGAACATGGCTTTCTTTATTCGAAATAAAAATTAATGAATATATTTTCATCACTAACTGAGTTCTATAATTAATAAATAACTTAGCAAGATGGATTTTATCCAATCGGAAATAAATGAATGTGTGTTAAAGTGATGAACTAAAGCGCGGTGCAGACTATTTTATTTTTGAATGTCATTCAAGTTGCGGTCTCCCTTGCTCAAATTTATTTTAACGATCGAACTTGAACATGCTCACATTCAAGAGTTGTCATTCAAACAAAATTTTTGAAGAATAAGGGTGTTTACGCACACTGTAATTATGTTTGGCACGCTATAAATATGTTAATGCAACTATGCAAAAATATCCTCTTAAATGACGAATAAAAGTTTTTGGGTGACAGACTATCATTCACAACATGTTGGCGAGAGGCTGAATGATGTTGCGTGTCATTCAAAGGTGCAGCTATCATTTTTGAGTGTCATTCATCGATTTTCTTTCCTGAATGACACTCAAAAATGATAGTCTGCACCGCGCTTTATACCTTAATGATTTCTGAAAGATGTATTATTCTGCTATATTTTGACCGTACTGGACTTATTGCATATTTGAAGGTATTACGTACTCGTAATACCTTTAATAATAGAATTCTCTTCTCTTCATAATTTATTAAATTGCACATCCTTATGACTTAACACAAAATATGTATGTTTGTTGTAAATAAAAGTTAAGCATTCATACATAAATATGCAAATTGCATTATTTCTTGACATTTTTAATTGTTGAAGGTAAATGTGAATTGCAAATTGTGAAATGTTAAATGTCATTTATCTTAAATGTTATTTCTTTCACATACGTATATTTAAATGTCCATATTCGTATGTACATGTATCTTTTATTGTGTTTAACTGCGATTGCAACTTTTTGTTTTGCGTTTTTATGTTAATTCAATTGATTTACGATAATTGCCCAGCAGTAATGCAAAAATAATTTATATTAATTTTTATCGGCAAACAAGTGTTTTCTTTTATTTATTTAAACTGTTATTATTATTTATATTTTTTTATTGTTGCAATTTTAAATGATTTTAATTTGTTTACAATTGATTTATCCATTACTTTCCCTCAATTCCTCTTTTCGCCGTGTAAATTTTCTGTGACTGCGCTTTTCTGTTTTATTAATTAATTTGCAATAATTTTTACATACAAATGCATTTATGGAAGTGTTTTCTTTTATATATTTTCTTTTATTATGTATCAAATATTTTGCTTTCATTTTCTGAAATTAATTAAAAATTTGTTTTGTTTCTTTGTGGAACATTTCTTCAATTTTTAAGACCTCGAGGTTGGTAGACAATGTGCTTTACAATATCATTTTATATATATCATTTTAATATATTTTTTATTTCTGAATACTCTTTTTGAGGCAAAAATTTTTTTTTATTTTTAATTTATCGGATTAATTAATTTTATTTATTTCAGTTTAAGTTAATCTATATCTTATTTACAACTTACACATATACTCTTAGGTATATTAGTATAATTATTTATGTCGTACCACATTTACATATAAAACATACAACCCAGCAAGAATAAAATTATACAAATTCCTTCTTTTCTGTAGATTTTTTTGTAATATTTTACGAAGGATTCATGCGTTAACACGGAATTCAGTTCTTCTAACTTATAGAGCATTTCTTACCTCAAATCAAATGTAATCTTCACTTAAATGCTGTTGTCTCGCTTTTATTTTAGGCCCAAGCAATTCGCCACCTGTAAGTTTTTATTGTTCTTTTCTTTCTTTCCTTTAAACACAACTCTCTTGCTGTGAGTACATAAGCGGAGTACGCACAGTGACGATTTCGCGTGAATACGACTTGCCAACTGCTGAGAGACCGGAGAGTGAACTGCTAGGACTAGTGATGGCAGCAGTGGCAGAAGTCAAACCGCTACTGCTACTAGAAACTAAAATTTGACCGTGAGCATGCATATGTTGCTGTTGTTGTTGTTGCTGCTGCTGCTGGTGTTGCTGATAGCTTGGTGGCATGGGTAGCGTACCATGATGATAGACACTACTGCTAGCTGTGGGCACCATTTGCAACATATTGCTTACGCCTTGTGGTGTGTGTTGCTGTAGATGGTGCTGCTGCTGCTGTTGTTGGTGATGCTGTTGATGATTGTGTGGTAATGTGTGATAACCGCCTGGATGTGAAGGTAGTGTGTACATTTGCACAGTGCCAGGTGATACAGTTGAGGGTGTGCCTTGTGAAACTGGTGAAGAAATGCATGGCGGGAATGGTGATACAGATGTTGATGTTGTGCAGGAGGAAGCGGCATTACCCAAAACGCTTGAACCACCAGTTGTAGTTTTATAATGATCAATTTGTGCATATATCGTTGGTTCTTCGAAGTAATCGTAATTGTGCGATGTGTCTGAGATGGGTTTGTTACGTTGCAGCGTAGCGGTGGCGGGCAAATTTGGTAGTAGTTTACGTACGCTGGAGCCATGTGGTAGAGTGCCACCAGCACCCAAATTGGGACTTATGCCAGCACTTTGTAAGAGTAGTGTGCTGCTGCAATCAACAGATAATGACTTTTTAGGTGCTGATGTACTTGCTACATTACTACCGGTAGCCAATGAGAGCTCAGCATAGTGGAGTTCTTCGTCCTAAAATGAGAGTGATAAAGTTTATATTAAAACTTTGTGGGAAAGATTAATGATTATAAAAGAAAGTGAAATTAAAATCATATTAGAAACTACAAATGAAATATACGTATGATGCATTATATTTAATTTGCTTATTACATATATATGTACAAATATTTGCGTTGAAAGATGTCATTCCAATTAAGAATTTTTAATATTATGAATTTCCCATACCGGGTAAACACTTTGACTTGGTGTGACGGCTTAGCTACAACCAAACTGCCTGTACATTCCGTGGCAATACATGGAGACCCGTTGTAGGTCAAATTCTAAGTACAAAAAATAACCTCCAGTAGTCTTGTTATTTTTTTATCTAAAAGTATATCTGTGTTTTAAACTGCATGATACATAGAACGACTGGAGCTAAAACAATGACAGAAGTGTGCATGATCAATAGAATAAAGAAGTGAAGAAGAGGCACGAAAGTCCTCAAAATTTTATTAAAGGTGCATATGACTTAAAGATCAAGAATTTGTGTATTTAGGCAAACCAACACCGAACATACGTTGTGAACAGTAAGCTTGGTGTGACAATCGTACCGTACACAGTGGGTGAATGTAACAACATACTGTTTCGATAACGGCTTACTCTAAGAAATGATGATCTCTGGGAAAAAATAATGGGAAATCGTTATTTTGTTTATTACTATTAGTAACATTAATGGAACCAAGATAATCTCACAAAAATCTATTTGAAGCTGGCTGGGTGGAGCAAAATAATATTTTGCACGATTCAGAAGAGTTGGTATTGCATGAAGAAGCCGAAGGACTAAAGGAAGTGGTTTATTACAATGTGGGGATGCCGCTTATTTTCATTTATAGGAATATTCCAAAATAGGACTTAATTGATGTAGAGTCGCATATGGTAACTTGATGTCTATATATTCTTTGAGAATCATCTTTTTAAAAAAAATTGATATTTGTTTTTATAACTTTAACTCCTGCATTGATCTACCTTATTCCAATTAGAGGTCACCAATATTTCTTGTTTTGCAATTTAATTCTAAAATATCTTAAGTTTAATGAATTTTCTTGGAAATTCTTGCTATCTAATATGAGTTGCTTTGATATCTCTATCAAAAATGTTCACTCTAGTCGTAAAATAATGACTAAGAGTAATAGCAACTTGTCAATCAATCACATAATAAAACCGTTTTGTGTAGTACGCTATTTTTATGAGCAATAAAATGATAATTAAGTTGTCTACTATTTATATTGAGTGCAAATCATATACTCCAGCCATTTATCATATTTGTTGAGAAACTTTTTGTCAGTTTTATTCTCAGAATATTTTTTGTTTCACCTATCTTAAGCACCCATCACACCGATTTATTGTATATCAAACTTTTCTTGCCATGAAAGTTAAATACAAAAGAAGAAATCATTAAACAAGATAAATTAAAGAACATAAATGTATCTCACAATAAAGCACAAAAATTTTGTGTGGGACAAAAAGAAAAAACTTCAAAAATATTCATTCTTAAAAGAAAGTTTACACAATTAATGCAAAATAATTCTGCTAAGTTATTAAACATTCAATTTCATTGTAAAACAAAGTAATTAAAACTTTTGCGAATTGTCTACAAAATCAACGTCATCAGTGTCATCATCATTGACTATGGCATCGGCAGCCTTTGTATTAAGAAGCAGTGAACGAACGCAGTCCCTTTCTCTTTAATTACGGAAGGCAAGCGACATACGATGCCAAGGACGATGGCAAACTTCGAGAAATTTACCTTCACTGCGTACAGTCAGGAAACCCAAAAGGGAAAGTATCTAAGTATCTGCGTATCTCGCATTTTGCACTTACCTTGCTGTTCTGATATAATCCACGCTCGTCCGTTGGCGGCTTACAGCTGATTTCCGCTTCACTTGTCGACGAAAGATGTCCTGATGGTGTTTGTGTTGCTGATTTTTGTTTATATTCGCCATCAACTATTTTTTTGTTTTGTTTCGAAAGTATTGGAAGAAAAGAGAAAAAGAAGAAGAAGCAATTTTAAGTTGAATTAAAGTAGAAATAATGTCAAACTTTGAAAAAGTTGGCAACACTAAAGAGTGTAGATTTTGTGCCAAAACAGATTCAAATAAACCTAATGAATTATTTTTGAGATTGTAAATTACTTTAACTAGTTTTATGTCAATACGTTGTTGTTTTTGTTATTTTTATACTAATTTTTTTTTAATACTTTATAATGTAATGAAAATACTTTGTTTTATTAATTAAGCAATTACCATCTCCTGCAGGACAACAGCAAGTTTTGTTTACTTCATTTTAAGTTCTTCATTTTCATGCTCTGAAAATTATAGTCATGAGTTTTTTTTCACTTTTATAATCGAGGGTCAAAGGTCTGCAAATTGTTTTAAATGTGAAAACAGATATTAAATTAAAACTGCAACATTGAGCACTAGTAGTCGGGAGAGGGGCGATAATTTTGGAGAAGATTAGTTTTAGATATTTAAAACATATTCAATAATATTCTATATATAATATAAGTATTATAATCGCATTTGCATATACTGCGGTATTAGTTTCAGTAACTCAGACTATTGTATAAACGACTAGAGATAAAAGTTCATCATACTCACATACTTTGTATTTATCTGCCAAATGACTAAGAGTCTCTAATGGCGTTTTCAATTGGTAAATTTGGGATAGTTTTTTCAATCGATGTGATCTTTTAAAGCACTTTTAGTACAACTTTAATTTGCGATTAGAAAGTCTGGGACAAAATGTATAACACTCTAGATTAATTTATAACGCTATAGATATTTCGTCAGCTAGCAGATAGCAAAATATGTGTAAATGTCTACTAACACGATTAAAAAATGTAAGATTTCTCTTAAAATGTTGGATTCAGTAATAAAATTTGACAGGTCTAGAGCAAGTCTAGATTGAACTCAGATTTACTAATCGAAAACGACATAGGTAATCAATATAATATAACTCAAAGAAGCTTTGCTACTGTCCATTGAGGCAAACGTCTACTAATACGGCTAAAAAAATGTTAGACTACTCTAAAAAGTTTCGATTGGGTAACAAAATTTGACAGATCTTGGGTAAAACTAAGTAAATCTAAGCCTCCGTCTATTGAAGTAGTGGAAGATATCAGATAAGAATATTTGTGACTTTTGACTTATGAATATTTTACTGACTTCTGTTGATATATGCTCAAAAGTAGGAACTCAATGTTTTAGGAAACCAAGCTTTATGGAAGCTAAATAGCGCATTTACTGTAAAGAAAATCTTATGGTAGTCTTTCAGCTACCATCATCCCTGACATAAACGCTATTTCATATGAATTTTTGGCTTGTAATATCAACGGACTTTGCCATTTTAACAAAGTAAAAACAATTTAAAACAATTTAGCCAGTTGTCATAATTACCCATAGTATCGAAAAATGTTAATCATGATCTTAATTTCAAAACTGCTTAAACATGATCTAGAATAAGAATTAATAGGATTGTATTACATACCATAACTTTAGTGAAACGATTAACTGTTTTAAGAAAAATTTTGCTGAAATATAATATAAGGAAATCGAATCGTGAGAGTTCATGAGTATAAATTTGAAAGAGAGTATATTGCAAGCAGTTTCAGAAAAATTTTTGCATTTTCAGTGAGGTCTGTGCCTAATATTGCTGGTTAGTGGTAATATTATCAATAAATAGATCTTCGAAAGACAAATTTTGGATTCCAGGGGCTGAGATTTTGTAATGTGATGCAGTTTCTTTCATCTTTCTATAAAACAGCTTAAAAGTGATTCTACACGCGTATGAGTAGTAACTATTTCAGTTGTAAAAGGTGAAAATAATATTGTTCGAGATTAAAAAGTGGTGAATAATTAAATCTTTCGGGTGCAGTTCCTAAAAACCCAAGATTCTGGATTATGCACCCAAAATCATTTTTTTAGTAATGTCTTAAAAATATGTGGAGTATAAAAAAAATTTATTCATGAATTCATTGGTCATTAATTTTTATTTGAAATTCTAGATATGCAATTCAGGAAGACCTTCAAATGCTGTCTAACCAATTCAATGCATGATTGATTTGCAAAGAAGCTAATGTTATAAAGTCCTTAACTAATATTATGGATATTATATTAAAAGTTTGATTTAATAATTTGAAGTCATATTTATGCGATTTAAAATCTAAACTAATATTAAGCATTCAACATTGATGGTATTTGAATGTTCCTATTATTCCTTTAATTGCCATTTTTAAAAATTTTGCTATTGACATTTTATTAAAAAAATAATTTGTATATTGAAAAGAATAGATATTTCAAATAACTCTAAAAAAGAATGAATTTAGCTTTGCTTTTAGATGTCAATTGCATTTCCACATGCCTTGAGGTGATGAGAATATATGCATTTCTCTTTATTCAACTCTGAAAACGAATGAAAACGCGAGACATTTGAATATTTTTTAATAATCATTAATATTTATTATTGTTGTTTTGTATTGTTTTTATATCTCTAGGATACATCTTTAATCAAGTGCAATTGCATTTTTCAATGTTAAGATTTTAATCATTTATTAATATCATACAAACGAAGTCAAGAACATTTTTGTTTCTTTGATATTTTTTATTTTAAAAAAATGAACTTCGATTTTTTTGCTTCTAATGCTAAGAAAAAAATTCTCTAAAAGGTCTAAGGGGATAGATATTTATTTAGAAAAAAATGTGCTTTTTTGATCAATTGAATAGATTTATCAAACAAAAATATAATTAAAATCAAACTTATTGTTCGTTTCAGTTTAAGATGTCTATATTTCTATGACCTGTGAGCGGATGTATTCTTTTATATGTAAATTAAAATTAATTAAAAATATTAATATACATTTAAAAAAATTATACATACAACTAATAAATTTTCAATGTCAGAAATAAATTACAATTCCATATATTATTACCTTTTTAATCAACTTTTTGTATTTAATTTATTAATGACTAAATAATTTTATATAAGACCAAATATATTCATAACTTCGATTAATGGCTTTATTTTATATAATTTTTTTGCTGAGGGAATCTATACATCCAAATAAGATACATCTATTAGCTTACCTTCATTGTAGGGCACTACATCCGGATTTTTCTCGTCGTACATTTCCTCAGAATGACTTATTGGCAACGAAATTTTGTCCTTAATTTGCAAATTGCCAGGACGTGAAAATTTCTGATTTTGGTTGCGATATTTTTGTTGTTGTTTATGGGAACGCAATTTCAAAGCGGCAATGGTCCCGATACCAATGCACACCAATGCGACTAAAATGCCAACAAATATGCCAACGGAAAGTATTGGCGTAAGGTCAAAACTGGATTGGGAGCCTTTGTAAGATGTTAAAGCAACTGTAAAATAAATTGTAGTAAAATATATGAACGTGCATGTATAAAATAGGTCATAATAAATCAAGAAATGTTTTATATTTTATATTATATAATTATGAATTGTCTGTGAGTAAATTTAAACTGTATTTCAAATGGAAATTTTGCCATCGTCACCTGTGCTTGGTGATGTCTGTAAAAATAAACTAATAGAGTGGCAATTAATATACTTATTGCTCTTACTGTGTTTTTAACTGACAACTGTTTAACGTTCTTAATAAACTGTTTGGAAGCTCCAGAAGGAATCGAGAGTAACAAAAGATCTGACCGTCTCGTCAAAAGAGGAGCTTAACATTCGTATTCAAAATCGGTACTAACGATATATCTGACTGTCTCGCCAAAAGTAGAGCCCAATATTAATAATTCGTACCTGAGCGTTTCTGTACTCTGGCGAGAGGAGCACACAGTGTGCAAACTCAGATACGTGAAAAACTCCACATTTTAAATTACTGTGTAAACTGTAATAGTCGAAGACATGTTAAGGGACTTATCAACGCTTTTTACACAGTCTCAAATGAACTCCTTACATTAAGCAGAGATGATAGTAAAACTCCTTGAAAACTCAATGCTGGTTGAGCTACTATCTCAATGAAATGTACCTTTTAAACAGCAAAAGTGGTCATTTTTGGAAAATGGATATTGAAATATCTAAACTTGTTATTTGTGATGCAGGTGGATTAATCCATCTGTGATACAGATTTGTTGCTTCTTATAACATGTAAAAGAATACAAAACCTTCAGAGGTGTTTTCACATTCATTCAAAGCTTAATAATAGCTTAAGCGAACTGTAGTTTGGATTATAGTCCATCTTAATTGTGCTATGTAGCCAGTAACGAGGCGTCAGCTTTTTGGCAAGGTGTTCACAATTTGATCAAAACAGAATTCCAACTATAACGTATTCCCCCTACTCCTGAGTTTTGTCCTTTCCACTAGCAAATAGCATACAAGACCAACAAAACAATTTATTTAAGTGTTCGCAGCCTGTGATCCACTGGTTTTTATGGTAAATAGCTGTAGGAAAACGGCGACTTACCACAGATTTAGACATTTTTACATCAGGTACCAAATTCTTCATATCTGGAGTTGGTCTATTCATTTTATGAATTAACACCTTTTTTCGGAAGATCGTTTAAAAAAAGACATTTGAATCAAATCTTTAATCACACATTTATCCATTTCTAAATATTATTTTTCACTTGAAATTTCTTTAATTTTTTTCTTTACTTTTACCATTTCCTAGTATAAAATTGCAATAATGACTTTGTTTTTGGTTTATTTCCAACCTCTACATAAGAGTAAGAAACTCTCATGCATTCATTTACTCTTTTACTTTGTATTTACTATGACCGGTTCAATTTTTTTACTGAACCATTTGCCCATATAAAACAGCAACCATGACTTTGATTGTATTTGCACGCTTTGTATGAACTTCGGGTTCAATTTAATCGACTGAACCTCTCGTCAAATGTAAAGCGATTTTCGCTCAGTCATTTCTTTTCTCTTTTGTATTTACTTTGCATAATATTGGAGGTTCACTGTTTTTATTGAACCGCTTGCACGCATTAATTTAAGAGTTATGATTATTTTACGTACATATTTTGCGGGGCTTGTTTTCTCTTTTATTTTTATATTTGTTTGTATGTTTTGTGTTTATTCAATACTGAACATAGTCCCAATGTGAATGTTATTTCATTTGCAGCATGCTTTGTAAGCAGCACTGTGCATTTTTTATTCTGAACCTTAGTATATTTTAAGAGGAATGTGTTTTCTCTTTCATTAATTATAAGTAATGTTGGGTATAACACTCTGAACCATTCAACGCCTCGCCTCAGATCGTATGTTATAATGAAAGTTTATAATGGGAGTATTCTGGGTCATTGATTATTCCACACACCAATATCTATTACGAGTATATTTCATAAAAGAAATACACAGCTTACGTTAGCCTATTTGAGGGCTTTCATTTCAAAGTTGGTTAATTTCACTTAGTCGTCTATATAAAAACTAAATGTAGGGAACAAAAAAATATAAAATATTATTTTATTACACTCCTGTCTAAAACATATATCTTATAGCTTATATATATATAAATTATTACTTCAGAAGCAGTACTTTCAAATATTTAAGTAAAAACCAGACAAATTAAGATTTTCTTTTAGTTGTTAGTACGTTTTTTTAAATTGAAATATGCCTTTACTAATAATCGTTTATCACAACACAGCAACACTGTTTTTCTACATATTTTTTACTACTATCCTTTACTTTATTTCGTACTATTTTTTCTTGTTGATTATCCTTATTTCTCTTTTGAAGTGAATACGAATTTAAGGTTGTTCTCAAAAGTTCATGTACCCAGAACTTTTTATTTGATTTTACTGTAACACTCGGTACTCTACTAGAATTCTACGAGTACTTCCAATATTTGGCCGCTCCTTCGAGTGCAATGAAATTTCACGAGCAAAACAAAACAAAAAATCGGAAAAAATATCCTTTCACAAAAGGATATGAAAAAAAAATAACAAAAAAGAAAGAAAAAGAAAAACTAAATGGTAAATTAGCGCGTGCTACTTTAGTCTTACATGTGCTCAGACAGGGCGTGTTTTGCGTCTACACTCGGAAAGGATACTGCATTCATAAGGCAAATAAATGCGGAATTTTCTTGTACTTTGAAATTTTCTTTGTGCTTCCTTTAAGAAATTCCTGAAAATCTAACTCCCTACCATTGCTTTCTTTTGCTGGTTTGACCTTTTTGTTTACTTGAGCATTGCTTTGATTTTTATCTGTTTGTATTGGATATTGGGTTTGGCTTAGAGGAAAGTATGAGATTTTATTTTGCTTAACGCTCAAATGCACTTTGTTCTTTGAATCGAAAAAGTTACTATGTGGTATATTCCCTTCTTCCATTTTATTTACATTAGGGAAAACATTTTAAAAAAATATTTACTCTTCGTCTAAGGGGTTTTACATTCAAACAAAAAAATATTTTGAAATAAAAAATGTAATAATTATGTTTATGATTAAGTAAACTTTGTATCTTTGACTATTCAAATGTATTGAGTCCCTAAACTTTCTGCACAGATTTTATTTTGTGCTCTTTAAAGTCTGACATATTTATTACATGATATTTTGTTTAAGATTAATTTATAAATTAAATGTTTATAATATTTAATTTTTTTTAATTGCGTATTGAAATTACAAAATAATTCTAGTACGAATATATCTCACTTTCATGTATTTTTATCTTGACAAGAATAAAGCAGCTTTTGTTCAGTAAAAGATTTAACACCTTTACCGAATAAAAATTTAATTCAAAATTTGATTAAAAAACTAGTTACTAACTTGTTTGAAGCCCCATTAGTAACTTAAATAGATAATAAAATATCAACAGTAGAAGTTTGAAGCTGAACTACAACATTTATCACATGGATTCACTGAACAAGATAGGAATAGGAATAAACGGGGTACTAGCTCCCAACGGAGCGAAACACTGCCACCACGATTGACCTTTTGTGTTGCTACTCAACAAGATGTACATATTCAGAATAAAATCTAAAACATACCAAATGAGAATTATAACATATTTATTATATTAACTGTATTCACTCGAGTAAGATATATTATGAATATATATTAATATATACAATAATTTACATACTACAAACATTATTATTATTTTTGTTATATATATTTAGTTTCTTGAGGTTATATTTCTAAATCGAGTAATTAAATTTTACATTTATGACATGTTTCCTATTATATATAGGCAAATTAACTGAAAAGCCTCGTTTCTTATAAAATTGAGAAAAAACGATGTTATAACCAGTTGACTGCATTCGATTAATTTAGTACTTTAGGAATGTTTCAATCTGTAATTTATGAGAGTAATTGAAAAGTTTAGTGCGCAGATCTTTTAATAAAATTACATTTATTGAGATAAATCAGAGCATCCGCATAAAAAGTGTTAAAGTGTGTGTCTTATTCATCAAAAACCGAAAAACAAAATTTGGATACATCGCTATCACTACATCCCGTGTTCTATAAAGTAGATAATCTGCTAAAAGTTGGTATTCTCTATTCTATTCTCTGTTGATAATATTTGAGGATTATCACTTAAGTACTTTATATTGGCTTGTTCTAGTGTTGTTTGAACACAAATACTTAAGAAGATTCTACTCTACCCATTGGTATTAAAGCACTAGAAGTTTAAGGCTTTATTTTACAACTCATTCACAATAGTTTGCTTAATGCAAATAGCAAGTATACTACAATAGTATAACATATACTCGTACTTATAGCTCATATGCCTAAGTTCACCAGTCATAATGCATATTCACTGAACGGCACTATAGGAGATCATTATATATGAAAATTCACACTATAATCTTTGGACCCACAAGACATAAATACTCAGCGTTATATAAACGTATATTTATTTAGATGTATGTCTGGATTTTAATTTGAAGTCTAAGTGAAACAGAACATAATCTCAATGTTATTATTAACTAAATAAAAGAAAAGATCTCATGTAATAAAGCCCTGGCACTACAAATAAAAATCACGATGTACAATTCTCTTATCATCTCTGCTCTGCTGTATGGCATAGAAGATTGTACAATTATCAACAGTGTTGAGAAGACATTAAGAGTAATGAAGAGAAAAATTCTTTGAAAAATCCATGATCCCTTACGCGTTGGAATATCAAATTAAATGAAGCGATGAGCTATACCGCGACATTAACACAGTTAAGTGCATAAAAATTTAGCGGCTTTGCTGACTTGGTTATGTTGTGCAAATGGAAAAAAATATTCCGACTAGAAAGATGTTTATTTCGGTATCCGCAGGTGTAAAACGCGGTAGAGGAGGTCCACATTTTCAGTTGAAGGACCAGGTGATCAACTACTACTACCAACTGGCGATAGCAAGCGTCTGATGACTGGTTGGCGGAAGTTACTGTACGTTAAGGACGACTCACATATGTAATACTCAACTATTTCAGTAGGTAAATATAACATCTCATACAAAGATCTTTACAAATACTCATACTATTACAAATATACGAACTAAAGATTTAAAAAATATATCTAGATTATTTAAATTATATATTTAAAAAAATTAGTACAAAGGGTTCAAAATAAAAAAGTTATTGGTTTTTTATGTATAATGCTTATGATAAAAAGAAACCAAATATAGTCACTAAAAAGGTTTTTCCAATTTCATCTATCAACTGCGGACATTTCTTTACCAAATTCATCTTCTTGAATTTCCAAATTTCATCTTATTATTGCCGTTCCAAACAATTTATTTCTGGAACATTAATGTCATCAAATTCATTGAACAGTGTCATTGTCGTAATAAAGCTAAGCGGAATTTCGATATCCCAGATACGCCCATCTGACAACGGATTTTGGTATAGTAACATATTTTGAGAAATTTTTTCAGCCACCGATATAGCAGATATTTATTCTTATTTCTTGAGATATAGGGATTTAAGTCGTACATATTAAACCCATGATGTTTAACGCGAAACTATACTGACACATTGCGCTGCAGAAAACGTTGTTCCAAATAGCTGGCTGCTAAAATCCGTTGTCAAATAGGTGTACAAAAGAAATCAAATTTGCACAACTTTTAGTTCATTTGTATTTGGATAATCGTGGAAGAACTTTTTTTCCGAACACTCCTAGTTGTACTATTAATAATATAGTATTCTATTCCATGCTACAGCGAAAATAGAGTTCGTCTTTAAAGAATGAACAATGGACACAAACACATCCCAACATAGATTTTTTACTGGAACCTGCAGGGCACAAACAAACTAGTGTATATGTTCAGAAAAGAAGCAATCGAATAAAAAGTGGAACCCATTTAAATGCAAAGATATATATACAGAAAAACATAGAGTAAGATTTAAATAAATTATTACAGTTCTGCCTTCTGTTAGAAGCAATGAACACTAAAAAAATTGAATTATTATGGTCGTGTGCGAGTTAGGCTAAGTTGCGTTCTAAATGAGGGAAATTCTAAGTTGTGCCGATAATGTAGTGATGTGTCGATACGTGTTGATAAATGGCAAAATGTGTGCAGTACAAAAAATCCCAAAAAATCTCCCATTTGGTTTAGCATCAACTTAGCCTAACTCGCACACGTCCTATAATTCATATCATAATTTTTATCATCATTATACGAACATAAACATATATTTTTTCCAATTATTTTTTTTTGGCAAATAAAACTTTCTACTCTGAATTAAATTTCGACTAAAAGATAATTGGTTCAAAAATAGCCCCTAATATACATCTACAAAGACATAACATAACCTGACTACTCGTTTTAATTGTATTGATAATATTTCACACTTAAAATGACTTAGCGACTTAAATGACTTAACTAGACACTAGTTTATGCATATCATTCTATAATTAAAAATCAATTAGATTCACAACTTCAAGCACGTAGCCCTGTAAAAAACTCTTTACTTGCGATCGTGAATACCACTAATGTAAATATGGCTTATATTAACATGAAAAAAAGTTACCATAATTTTACAGTACTTCATAGTTTTAGTAAATCATAGTTAAATTAATCTTTATTTTCTACAATACTAAATTTATTATTTTAAACGAGGACATATCAAACACATTAAAAACAAATATTCTTTTTCATTACACTTTTTTTTATTATAACAAATTCTCCATCATATTCACAGTTTACATGTATTTAATTTTAATAATAACAACATAAAGTGATATCCATCAATATAATAACAATTAAACATCCTATTATCACAAATTAAGACGACAAGGCTTCCATAATTATTACTATAGACAAAGAACGAAAATTCTATAAATTCATGGATAAATTAATTTTTAACATTTAATAACATAATAATATTATTACAGTTTATACATTAAATATGTACATTTATTAAATTTATAGGATGTACTTCCACCACAATAAAACATATATTTATTTATTTAGAAACTAACCCACCATGCAGGATTCAACAAAATATTTGTAAGAAATTAGGAAAAATATTTTAAATACATATATTTATTACAACATATTATTTAAATTCATTTCAATATCATTTTTTTCTTTTTATTTTTTTCTGATACAGTATATAAATTAAGATGATATTGTAATAGTAATCTTCAAAAAATTTTTATTAAGTAAGAGAAATACTTACAAGATATGTATATAATTTAGAAAATAATCCATTTTATACATGCTGACTTTTTTTTATAAACTTTATTATAGATGAGTTTTAATATATATTTCCGACGTTTCGGTTGTTTAAGACCATCATCAGGGAAAAAAATTTTTTTAAAACAACTGAATAGAATAAAATTGGTATATGAAAAAATTTTTTGACAAATGTTTTAAATAATTACAACGAAAAATGTACAATCAGTTTTTCTTTGAAATGACTTTTCTAGCAATGCACAATAGACGACAGAAATATTTTCTATATCTCGCCGCAAATTGTATGTTGATGTAGTCATAATGTGTAAGGACTCCAGGGTAGGGCGTCGAGACAAGGAAGGTTCAGTATTAATGAAGCAAAATCTGGGTAATGATTTTTGTCAATAAAGTGTGAGGCTAAAAACATAAAAAATTTTTTATTGAAAAACCAAATCAAAAATCTGACTAATAGCCCAATACTCATCTATAATAAAGTTCGAAAATAATATCAAGAAAGCTTAAAAAGATAAACTATTAGCAGTAAATGTAGTGTATGTAGTTATATTAATAAAAAGGAGTTTGTAAGGAATGAAATAAGCAGACAAAATTTATAATTATTTTAGGATGCCCTTACTGCATTATATTGATTTAATAAAGGGAAGGTTCCAAATTCTTAGTTTATACACAGATTTATATACACATATATATAATAATCATTTTTTTAAGTATTTATCTACTTTACATTATTTTATAAACTATTAAAATATGAAGCTTCATCATTGTTAGTATTTATATTTTGATTTTGATTCAAAATTAATGCAAATATTGATATTAAATATTGGTATATTAAAGCTTTTTATACAATTTTTTTTTTCGTTAAAATTATTTTTTAAAAATTATTCAATTTAAATATATTTCATAAATAAAAAAAATCGTTGATATTTGAGACTTTTTCTATTAGGACAATTTTTGGTTTGAGATCGCAATTATAACTCAATTTATTTCAATATAATAATTCAAATAGTTTTAAATTTTATATTAATTACCAATAATAAGCTTAACAAATATGATATAATTCAAAAATAATTCGTACAAAAACCCATTTAAATATCGATATTAAGTTATTTGTAAGTTGCCTTTCCAATTATAAATTTAAATTTAATTTAAATGATTAAATTCACTTAAAAATGCCTAAGCATTTTGCAGCTGCCACAAATATTTATAAAAATTTAATATACTTACATTATTGTTATAATTATGTACGCTTTATCTGATAGATGCTCGATTAGGAATAATTCTATGCTTCCTTAACATAAAACAAAATTTGGTAAAATAATTTTATAAGTTTTTTGATATAACAACAATAAAATGGAAGACTTCGTTATTTCGCAGATTAAAGTCATAAACGTTTTATGGTGCTAATCGTTCATACACCCAACCATTTTCACCCAAATGCACTAAATTATTGTCAACCTCCTATAATAATCAAAAATAAGAAGCAATTATTATTTTATTAAATAGGAAAACAAACAAATAATACTTTTAGTGTATTTTCGCCTTTGCGAAAACGTATGCGATCATGTAAACGATCCGTTTGACCTTGCCAAAATTCTACACAACTTGGCGTTATTAAATAACCACCCCAATTTGGCATAGGAACTTGTTCATCTGGTTTCAAGTTCTCTTTAATTTTAGCTTCAATCTCATCTAAATGCTTGCGTGAAGGAATTCTTTGACTCTGTTCACTTGCCAAAGCACCAATTTGACTGGCGCGTGGACGTTGATGAAAATAAGCCGCAGATAGTTCATGTGGTATTTTTGTTGCAACGCCTTCAATGCGCACTGAACGCCGCAATGGGCACCAATACAGTGTCATTGCAACGTTAGGATTCTCGTCTATGTCTTGTGCCTTGCGACTGCCATAATTGGTAAAAAATGTGAAACCTTCATTGGTGACATCTTTGAGCAGCACAAAACGATTCGATGGCACACCGGCTCTGTAAAGAAGTTTTAGTTTTAAATTATTTTAATTGCAGAATATATTAATAAATACATTTAATAATTTTTTTTTATTTTCATACTTATTTGCTGTTGCTAAGCACGCCGCATTGGCCTCTAATATCTCGTCAGTTTGCAATGCCACCTCAAGCCATTCGCGAAATAACGAAAATGGTTCCTTATTCTTTAAGTTTTTTTCTAGCAAAATATTTTTCTTTCCGTGATATTTAAGACGTAAAGCTGAAATATATATAATATTTTTTAGAAGTTTTTAAATATTTTGTTGGAAAATGCTTACACGACATAGAATCAGCCGTTATAGACATTTTGCGTAATACAGAAAAATTACTCACTATAAGTAATAAAATATTTCAATTGACTGTTATAACAAAGCAAACAGTATGTTATTATCAATTTAACTTTAATAATAACAAAAACAAACTCACTTCTTAATTTTCTTCACGCCTATTACTTTTTTCCGTATGCTAAGTAATCTGATTGTCATTTCTCCAACAGCTGCTGTCAAACTGAAATACACTGAGAAAAATTGTTTGCATTGTAAAACATTAAAAATTTTAAATAAAATATGTGTAAATACATGTAAATAAATATTTACAATATCTTTTTAAGGCTGTCTTAATTAATAATAAAGTGGTAATATAGATGCACCACATATATATATATATATATATATAAATGTAAGTTATTTACAGAAACTTATAAAGTTTTTTAATTATATCAGCATCATATCTAAAGAAGAGCAGTTCTAGTTGTTATCTATTGTTGAACATTCAATGTGGAGACGATTATTTATAATTGTTTGTATGGATAAATTTTGATTTATCATATTGTTAAAATAAAGTTTTATATATAAAGTATATGATTACATATTAACAAAACAAATTGTTAAAACTCTAAATTCCAATAACACAAGTTGAATGTATGTTGGCATTGTATGTTCACACACGCGTTTTAAAATTTAACAGGCTTTAATTCGTGATACCTGTATTTTAAAAATTGCTTGGACAATTACCAACAGTGATGAGAAGGCGTTAAGAGCATTCGAGAAAAAATTTCTTCGGAAGATCTATGGTCCCTTACGCGTTGGCGACGAGTATCGAATTAGATGGAACGATGAGCTGTATGAGCTATACCGCGACATTGACATAGTTAAGCGCATAAAAATTCAGCGGCTACGCTGGCTTGGTCATGTCGAGCGAATGGAAGAAAGTGGTCCGGCTAGAAAGGTATTTGATTCGGTACCCGCAGGTGGAAAACGCGGTAGAGGACGTCTGCATCTTCGGTGGAAGGACCAGGTGACCAACGATTGGGGGCGCTCGGTACTACCAACTGGTGTCAGAAAGCAACTAATCGCATTGACTGGCGAAGGCTACTCGACGCGGCCAAGGACGACACACGTCTGTAATGGCCAACTAAACAAGTAAGTATTTTCAAAATTAAATTCAATTACCTTCAATAAAATCAACGGATTATTTTGAAAGAACTTTATGATTTTAAAATTTATTCAGTAGGGTTCAACTCCTTACTCAAATAGTCTAAAAATTATGTACCAAATGACAAAAGACCACTGATTATTAATATTTTGCGATATTAAAAACACCTATAGGCCTTTTCAGTGGCTCGCAAGTATGGCAAAAAATGCATGCTGGCTTATGTTGGCCAAGCGAGTCATTGGTGAGTCATTGTTGCAATCTATCAAGTGTTGTGTTGTGGCAAATAGCAAAAATAGCATAATACAAATAATAATAGATTTTGTATAACATTACATAATTAACATAGACTGAAAATTAAAATGAATACAAAATTAAGAGGAATGGGAAAAATGTTAAAAATTTCAAAATAAAACACTTTTTTAAAAATAATTATTTCACGGGCTAATTGGTCAGTTATCAATAGTTCCCCGATGATGACTATAGATTATAGTCGAAATATTGGACAATAAAAATCTTATAAAACTAAATAATACATTTTTTTTAAAAGAGATCATTATTTAATAACTGACCAATTAGCCCGTGAAATAATTATTTTTAAAAAATTTCTTTTGGTCATTAACACATTTAATTATAAAATAAAACACTGAAATTTATCTTTTTTTCCAATTTTCAAATTTATGAATTTTTTGAAATCTGTTTGAATATTTATTTACATATAATTTTTGAGGTTCACAATAGTTCGATGTGTGTGGCCAGTATACCTATACTGGTCGATGTAGAGAAAATAGTGTTGTTGTTTTGCGTACATTTTGGCCAGTATAGGTCAGCAACTTGCTGTTTTTTGCCGTACTTGTGAGCCACCGAAAAGGCCGAAAGTTCATGTGATTATATACTAAAAAATTTCTAAAATAAAAAATGTCTCCACGTTTACTTTTTTTCTATTTAATATGTAGTTTTTAATTAACTGTTAATTAAATGTTAATAATAAAATATTGCATTTATCAAAAAAGTGAAACAGAAAAACCATACGTATATATTTTTATGAAATTGCTTATACAAACTTTATTTAAACCGAAAAAACGAATTGGTTATTTTGCAGTAAATTTGCTATTTGTTTTTATGTTGTGTTACCGAATGACTTACTATTTGATTATATGTTTTTGTTTACATTTATGTGTTGTACATAGGCAGCAAAAATATTTTATATCATTTACACACATTTATGTGTATATATACATAGATTTATTTTAGATACGACTATATATTCCTTCAAGCAATCTCTTATATTGATAATTATTTATCTCTCTTCTAACTAAATTGCCACTAAGATAAAATAATTAAATTAAAGGTACTTATCTAAACTGATAAATGTCTTATAACCTTATAAACGTATAAATTCATAAACTTTCTAAGTTGAGTGTCAAAGGTTTTATGAATTAATCGTTTACACAAATTTAATAAATTTACATAAAAATTTTGAATAAATTGATCGCATAAGGTTTACACAAATATTTAATATTGCAACGATATTGGCTAAACGTTTGGTTGAAAAATTGCGTTACTAAGCATTGCAGTTTGTATTGTCATAATTATTACTGATATAAATAGTGCTATTATTTGTATTGTCATAATTATTTAATAAAATAGTGCTATTATATAGTTGATTGAAAAATTTACATACATATCTCACTAAGTGCGTTCATATAATCGTGTACGTGAACACATAAAATTCTGTATTTAATAAAAATATACGCTTAGATGAGTACACTTATTATTTTGTTGCGAACTAAAAATCTGATTTATGTATTATTACTGAGTCGTATAAAAATTCATGTGTTTCATATGTACTATGACAATATTTTTAGCCAACACTGTCTAACTGAAGGCGTTTTTGTTCGGACTTATTATTTTATTTTATTTTATTTTATTTTATTTAATTTATTAATGATTCGAAGAATTCTTTTGTGTATCAGAACTTGGACTTATTATGAAATTGATTACAATTTCAATTTGAATGTACATAAATTAAATAAATTTATTGTCTTTATGACCAAATATTTTTATTAATATTTCTTATTTTTATAGGGGTAATTGGTCAATAGTTGAATAATTATTATATAACTCTTCACAAATTAGCCCGTTAAAAAACAAAAATTATTATAAATTAAATAAATAAAGATTATTTTTAGCCATCACTGTGTAACAAATTTATTGCACGAGATAAATATTTTTGTACAATGCAAATTACAAAAACAATTCAAAGTTGTTTACAAACGTTCGTATCTAGGTCTTTGGTTGACAACTGCGCTTGAGCCGTACTGTCAAAAGCTTTCATGCTTTCACGAGACGAATGTCAAAGCGAAAGGATAATTCAAAGGAAAACAATGAGCTGAGCTAAAAGAAATGAGAAAGCAAAGTGTATGACAAATTGAGAAGCACACAAATTTTTGTATTTTGGCAGCGCTGCCAAAAGGCTAAAAGGGACTGGAGCAACAATAATAATTTGGAGCAAAACGTGGGGATACAGTCGCATTGCTGTGCGATGACATGACACAGAAAACACACAAAAGGTTGGTCGTTCGCGAGGACAGTACGTTGGGGCGCATGAAGCATCGACAAACAAAATTGTGAAAAGGAATTTAGTCAAAGCAAAAATAAAATATAAAAAATAAAAAAATTGTCCTGCATATTTAAATGACAAGTTAAGTGAAGTTGAGGTAGGATTTGCAAGTTAAAGGATATTTTATTTATGTGTAAAATAAGTAAATGTGAAAAATAAGTTCAAGAATTTAAAAATTTATTAATAAAGAGGAATTTAATTTAGTAAAACAAATAAAAATATACTTCCGGAATAATATAAAGAAACATTTAACAAAAAAAAAAAATAATAAATATTTTATTATTAAAACAAGTGAAGAAAAAAGTATTCTATTTAAATATTTAGTGTGCCTATATGCCAATTGAGTGCCTTATATCCTTTGATAACAATCCTCAAGGTGTATATTATGCTGGACAAGAATTATCTGGCGTGGTCGATCTTGGCGTCGACACAACCAAAAGAATTAAAGGTGAGTAATGGGAAATTTTTAAATGAAGCACCAGTGCTGACCTAAAAAACTCTAACTAAATTTTTTTATGCATGCAAATATGTATAGAACACACATATACATATATACACACAACTACATTACATCAATACTAATTAAATTCTATGCTTCCGAATAATTTGTACAGTATGACTCACTACGGTCACTACGGTAGCTCAGCCATATCCTGTTGCCTTTAATGACTGTCTGCAGCCTACCACTTGCTCCTCCAGAATGTCAATTGCTGCAGTTAACTGTAAACTATTGATGTCACACTGGAACAAAAGTTCTGAGAAAAGAAAACAAAGACATTTTCGCATTTGCGGTTTTTCGCAGTGTATTTAATTTTGCCTATCGCATTACAAATTTGTTTAACAGAAGCGGATTGAGCTCTCACTGAAACAAGGCCCTTATATGTAACACTTAAACTTATAATTTCCTCATATTAAATTTAAAATATTTAAAGCATGAGCGAAAATTTTAATTTATTATCGTAGTGACAATTCTCCCAGTGGGGGAATTCTTTGTTAATTTAGACGTAACAAGCGCCCTTGAACAGAAGTTTCCCTACTTTGCACATGTTTGTCTGTGGTTTAGTTTCGTTTATTTGTTTTGTTAATTCGCAAAGGAACTAAAAAAACTCTCTTTGCATATTTCACCACTTTTCCTACTTGTTTTTTAATTTCGTTTAGTAGCCTTAAGTGTTGTTGTATGTGTACACTACACTCTACACTCAAAGTAGGCATCGTCGGTTATCAGTTCGTTTATACTGGATTCCACAAGAGTTTTGTTTTTAATTTTAACTGTCAATTGTTGTTGCGTTCAATGCAAAATGAAAATTTTTGACAGCGAAATTATAAACAAAACTCTCGTGTGAATCCAGTATTTGACAATTATTTAATCTAAAAATCAATA